TTTTAGATCGAAACAAACATTCCTATTTTTTAAAGGACTATTTTATACTCTGCCTGCATCAGTCTATTCGTTATTCTAATCAGTTTGGTTTCTTCACTGTTTTAACGACACACGCTCAGTGTTGCTTTTTGTGTTGTTTTTCTCTTTTGAAAAACCCTCAGGTCTTTTCTTAACCTGCCTATATATCATCGTTCAAGGCACAGCTTAGATTCCACTCATCTATAATGTCTTCCTAGGTGAGTGCCTGAGTATGTGATTACACCATTTGAAATAAAATCCATTTTGTTTTGTATTGTTCCCAGCCCTTAAGTATCTTTTTAAAAATATTTTTAAAATATTGTGTTTTTATATTCTTTTTCTTTGTTCTAACTTTCTTTTTTTTTTTTCTGAGATGGAGTCTTGCTCTGTAACCAGGTTGGAGTGCAATGGTGCAATCTCAGCTCACTGCAACCTCTGCCTCCCAGGTTCAAGCAATTCCCCTGCCTCAGCCTCCTGAGTAGCTGGAACTACAGGTATGTGCCACCACGCCCGGCTAATTTTTTGTATATTAGCAGAGACAGGATTTCACCATGTTGGCCAGGATGGTCTCGATTTACTGACCTCGTGATCTTGAGCTATGGTGCCCAGCCTGTTCTAACATTTATGTAGAAGAATGCCTTAGAATTTCTGAGTGGTTGTACTTTTCTTTTGTGTTAAGTTTTAATTTTTGTGACTACATAGTATCTATTATGATTTTCTAATTGTGTGCATTGTGATCAGAGAATAAGATCTATAAAATTCCTGGTTTTTTAAAAATTCATTTCAATTTTTCCTTATGATATGATCTAATTTTTGATAAGCTTTTGTAAAGATATTTATGGAAACTTGAAAGTAATATGAATTATTTTTTTAACAGTTTTTAAGCCAGTATTGTAAAATATCTTTTTACATGTAAAAGAGATATAGCTTATTGTTCAAAACTAGGAACTACATTTATAATATTACCAGTAAGTATTTTAATATAGTTGCTTCTTGATTTTCTATTTAAAAAAATGACTAAAATCCATATATATATATATTTTATATTTGTATCCTGCTCTTGGTTATTAACAATAATTTGACGTGTTTTTCATTAAAATATCATAATTAACATCATTTTTAAAAGCATATTTACTATTTTATTATATGGCTATATCATAATTTACTTAATTCCTTGGTGTTAGATGTTTAGATTTGATTCTTTGTTTTACAACTATAAATAATATATCATTCTTCAAATGTTAAAATAATAGACTGGAAATCCACCCCAACCTCCTATTCTTACTAAACTTTAGAAATGAGATAACATTTATTTTAAAAAGCTGTAACTAGATTGGAAAAGGGGAATTTAATATTTACAATTTAGTAGTAATATGAATTCTCTGTTTTCAACAGTTTTTAAATAAGTAATGTAAAATATCTTTTTATATGTAAAAGAGATAATATGTTGTTCAAAATTGGAAACTACATTCATAATCTTACTAGAAAAAACGGTGCTTAAGTATTGAAACTTCAGAAACTGTGAAGAATCCCTGAGTGATGGAGAGTAGATATTATTGAAAAAGAAAACTCAGCCCAAAAGGTGAGTACATGAGTACTGCTAGAAGCAGGTGAGAGTGATTTCCAGAATGTACCACACCTGGAAGAGATAAACACTATGAGCAGGGAGGGTCTTGGCAATGAACAGGGTGATTAGTTAGGGTGCTACAGCAGGAGTGGCCAGGGGGCTGCCTCCAGGTGAAGGCAATGGGTATGGGAGATTGGGTCAGAGAGATGAGAACGTGCCCTTAAGTTGCTTACAAGGGCACACAGAGGATAGGAATTTCCACAAGTGTAAGACTAAGATACCCACTAAGATACTCAAACTGGCAAGATATCCTAGTGGCACATTGTCTCTACTCCCTTACTCTTATTGAAAATTGATACACATACAGTCCTTAGTGAAGAGGAGAAAAACAAAATGACATGTGATGGTTGAACATAAAAAGACACTTGAAGCAAATGCTAACAAAACAAAAGCAATTTTAACTATATTAGTAACAGATTATTATATATTACATATAATTATATATAATAAATCTTTTATATATAGATATATATTTTGAGATTGAGTTTCACTCTGTCTGTCATCCAGGCTGGAGTGCAGTGGTGTGATTTTGGCTCAATGCAGCCTTCACTTCCTGGGTTCAAGCAATTCTTCTGTCTCAACCTCTTGAGTAGTTGTGTTTTGGCTTCTCTATCACCGTCATCTGCCATTTTTAAGCATTAATTCTCCAATGCTTTGTGGACCTTTTCTACTCTTTATATAGGCTCAATTAGTTCCTTTATTTTTTAATTAATTCATTGAACATTTTCTCACATTTTTATATGAGCGTTGGCTCTTGAAGAAGTATTTATTACACATGTACTTTAACTTCAAAGGAAACTAGAAAAAAACAAACTGGAACAGGAAATTAATTTTCAATTTACAGGGATATTAACAGATGAAGTATAGTTAGAAAAAAATTTCTTGAAGCAGAATAACCACGCTGCCATTCAATCCTTGCCATTAATAAGGTTTGTCATAATACCAAATTAAATCTATTTTCAAAAAGTTCCGTGTTTTTTAAAACACATATTTTTCCCTAAATTTCAGCAAAAGGAGAAACTCCATTCAATGCAATAAATATTGAAGTGCTTACTATTTGTAAGGCATTGTGGGTACTGAAAAAGATGCTAAAATGAGTAGGTACCTCCTTTAGTAGCTGAGTGTGTGTCTTGTTTGTTTTTCAAAAAGTTTTTGCACAGAAAGAACTCTGGGGTCTGTGAGAGAATCATACAAATTCCAACATTCCTGCCTTTTATTCACCAGACGGAATACAAGGCACCTGATACTGTTAGTAAGTTTCACACATTAATTCAACGGATATTTATTGAGTGCTTATTACAGGTCTAGTGCAGGTCAATAAAAAATCACAAAATCCCTGCCCCCATAGAATTTGTAATCTAGTTGGGGAGTAACAGAGAAGAAGCACATGAGTAAATTATGTAAGTAATATTGAGTGAAACAAAGCAGACGAGGAGCATAAGAAATTCTTGGTTTGGGTATGTTGTAGTTTCAAGCAGGGTTTCAAATAGGGTTGTCAGGGAGGGTCTCATTAGAAGGGGACCTAAAATAACGAGCTGAGTGAAGTAAATGTGTTAGCTAAAATGATACATTTGGCAAAGCATTCCAAGTAGAGGGGACAGCAAGTGCCAAGTCTTCAGTTGGGAGCATAACTGGCTTTTTAAAAGTTGAACTAAGAGCTAGGATGCCAGTGTGGCTGGAACTGGCTAACCAGGGAGAAAGCAATAGGAGAAAATTTAAAGTTTTAAGGGCTAGAGACTCTGGGCTTTACTCTGATGAAAATCTCTGGAGGCTTTTGTTGAGCAGAGGAGTGACATGGTCTGATTTACAGTTTAGGCTGTTAAAAACTTTAGACAACTTCAATCTAAGAGTTTATTTGCACACACGTGGGCTCACATACACATGCAGTTTATGAGGCATTCATCAGGCAGCAGCACTTAGAACAGGGAGAGGTTCAGAGAGCGCTTTACGGCACTGTGGGCAGGCAGTATTTGCAGACAAAAAAAGAAAGTGTCCCACAGAAAGCTTGATTGGTTATAGTTGGGCTTGTTTGGGCAGGACATTATGAAGTATTTGCCTAATATGGACATATTCTGATGAGTTGGCAGTCCGTGATTGACTGAAGCTCAGCTACTTGTCACAAGAATATACTCAGTTGCAGTTCATTTACATACTAAGTTAGGTTGCAGCTCCCTACATAGCAACTCAGAGTAGGGAGGAAGCTTTAGGCCAAATTTAATTTAAATTAAGTTGGAGCATGACCACAGTTGGTCATGGCCAGAGCTGAACACAGATATGGAAGCTAGCACAATATCTAGTAGCGAGAGATTGTGGTAGAGTACATGGGGTGAAATGGTTGATTCCTGCATTTTTGTTGGTGACACCATCATGATTTGCTGAAGAACAAAATGTGAGACAGGAAAGGACAACACAAGGAGCTGCCAGCTTTGGAAATCAGTTCAACTCTCATTATTACTTTTGCAAAAGATAGAGCGTTATGAATTTCTGGATTCATCATTCTTATCCCAGACTATTTAACCAGAATCTCCAGGATCATGGCCCTGGAAACAATACATTTAAAACGCTTCCTAAGAATTCTGCCGCCAATTTGGCTTGGACTACGGAGTCAGCGGGCTCGGGGCTCCGTGAACAACTTGTGTTTTTATACGGAAGAGCCCATGCCCAGAGTATAAGCTGGGAGTACAGCACTCTGCAAAGTGTGTAGGTTGGTGAGCTACTGGATTAATCTCTATCCCTGACGCTGGATGCAGTAGTACTCTAAGATGTCTCAAGTGGGTTGAGAACCATGGAAGGATTCCTGGAGGAGCCTGATTTCAAGTAAGTGTTTCTCAGGCTTTTGGTAGGAGGACAGAAACGAAGTTGAATGAAAAAGACAGTGGAGTAGGACTGAGAAGTGACAGCGATCCACGACAGACCTCTCTTTTTCTTTTCTTTCTTTTTTTAATTGCATTTTAGGTTTTGGGGTACATGTGAAGAACATGCAAGATAGTTGCATAGGTACACACATAGCAGTGTGATTTGCTGCCTTCCTCCCCTTCACCTATATCTTGCATTTCTCCCCATGATATCTCTCCCCAACTCCCCACCTCCCGCTGCCCCTCCCCTATTCCCCCCAACCAACCCCAGTGAGTAGTGCTCCCCTCCCTGTGTCTAGAAAGACCTCTCTTTTTCAAGACCCACCAGATCGCAGCCCAGGAGAAGCCACAACGAGGCGCAGGTGCGACTCCACAAAGGCCACGCCCTTCGTAGAGAAGGGCCAACCCGTTTCCCGCCCGGAGGAGAGCCTGGGTTTCCGGGAGGACCTGATTCTGGGAGGGACCAAACCGGATAAAGGTTGCGCGCCCACTTCCGTCGGTCTTCCGGTTCACTAATACGCGATTTCGCAGATGGGCGTGAATACGCTGTCCCTCTGCGCAGGCGCGTTAGGCGCGCGGCGCAATGCCGGGGCGGCACGTTTCTCGAGTCCGGGCCTTATATAAGCGCGTCTTGCAGCTGCATCGTGTTCTGCCCCCGGACCTCAAAGCCCTGGGTGATCAGTATGTTAAGGACGAATTTAGGAGACATAAGGCCGTTGGTTCTGACGAGGCCCAGCGTTTCTTGCAGGAATGGGAGGCAAGTGGCGCCCTAGTTTCTTTGCCCAAGACCTTTGGGGTCCCTCGGTGTCCCGGTTTCTTGTTCCATGGCCCCATCCAGGATTAAACAGTGCAACAACCTGTTTTGTTTGAATTAAACTGCGTAATGCTGTTCAGGCGACACTTTCCAAAGTTTCTCCCACGGGTTTCTCAGTGGAGCAGTTCCCTATTACTTCAGCGTCTCCAATTCAGTTTAACTTTTGAGCTCCTGCAGATGCCAGGTTCTGGAAGGGTGAGGATAGGTCACAGAAATGAGCAGGTCGTCGTTAAGTGTCCAAAGACCTCAGGAGCTTTTTGTTCCTTTAAGTACCTTTGTACGTAGTAAGAGCCCATTAATAAATTAATGGCTCTCTTATTAGTTTTCAAATTTAAAGGATTATTTCCCTGTTATTTCTTTAATCTCAGCTCTCTTGGTGGGTTTAAATAATTTTCTCACTTGACCGTTACAGAAATCACATAGCATGAAAAAGACTATAGGTTACAATAGACTGGAGATTACAAACGGTGAAGGAGAAAAATGCTGGTGGCAGTTAGGTCAGGCGAAAGTTGTTTCTTCCGGGGTCTCAAGTCAGTGTTACATCGCCATGCACCATTGCTCTAAATATTAAAGGGACACATGCACTAGCAATAAGTCATTTGGCTTTTTTTTTTTTTTTTTTTTTTAGCGAAGACAAAAGGTATTCAGAATATTTCGTGGGACTCGGGGCCCTGCAGGATAGCCCATAGTTTTCACTTGCGTATATCGAGAAATGAATGCAGTTAGAGATTAGAATGACAGCTAAGGTATTTGAAAGCATGAGTTGGAGCTGGTATGAAAATAGAGGTAAGCGATTCCTCAGCCTAAACAGTTGAAGAGGAGATGACTGAAGTCTGCTTTTTAAAAAAAAAAAAAATCACGAAAGAATGGTTAGGGTGAACACAAAATTTACACTGACTTCCAGAATTCTTATTTGTAGAATTATTGAAGCTTTTAAGAGTGACATTTAGAACAATGGGGGAAATTTGGAACTTTCTTGAAAATCATGGTGTATTTGGTTTAATTCGCTTGTCTGAAGCCAGGGAAGTTGAAGCTTTTCAGATACAGAGCACTTTTAATAAGGTAATTTGGTCTTAGGGCCTGAAGAACTGGAGTCAGATTGAGTCTCTGATATTAATATTAAGTGTCAGATAATTTTCCTGGTCTTATTTTCTCATCTGTAAAAGTGTTTATATATGCATCTCAAAATTTATTTATGTAAATGTATTTACAAGCCCTTGTATTTTGTTATGAAGCTATAAGATACTGTATTAAAGTATTTTACATCTTTTAAGGTATGTCATTTTGTGGCTGTACACGAAAGAGAGTAGCCTTCTATTGGGAGGAAATAGGTTATTTTGAGAAGTCTTAAAATGTAAGAATTTGGAAGCCTTTTAGGGAAAAAGTAGGAAAGAATAGCAACTCAGAAAAATTGATAATAGGTTGTAGGAGAGAGAGAGGGTATATAAAAGAACTGCATAAATAAAAAACGTGTTAGTTGACCTAGTAGGCTTGGTAACAGGTATGGAGCGTTTTAAAACTCATAAACATAGAGAAGAGTAGGAAGACTACAGAGTTCCTCTGCATCCTGTTTTCCCTTATGTTAGCATTTTACATAATCAGGGTACAGTGATCAAAAGCAAGAAATTAACATTGCTACAATACTATTAACTACAGGCTTTATTTACATTTTGCCAGTACTTTCACTAATGTCCTTATTCTGTTCCAGGATCCCATAGGGATTCTACAATGCATTTAGTCATTCTTTTTCCTTAATCTCCTTTCTGTGACTGTTCCTCAGTCTTATCTTTCATGACTTTGATACTTTTTTGAAAAGTACTGCTCTGTTACTTTGTGGAATGTTTCTCAATTTGAGTTTGTCTGATGTTTTCTGGTGGTTAAATTAATGTTATACATTACTGAGAATAGCACAGGAGCGAACTGTTCTCAACACTTAATGTCAGAGAGTAAATGATATTAACATGACTTCTTACTGGTAATGATAATGGTGATCACTTGGTTAAAGTGATAATCTGCCTGGTGTCTCCACTGTAAACTTAATATTTCCCCTTTGAAATTAATACATAGTTGGAGGTAGGTACTCTCTCAGGATTTGCAGATGAATACTAATCTTAGCATTCATTGAAGGATTTTGGCATTGTGTTCCAATGGTGTTTTTTTTGGTTTCCCTTATTCTTTCTGAATTTTTTAGTTGACATATGTCTGTAGAGAACAGTTTTCCTATCTTCCCCATTGTTGACCTAGTGGAGTTAATGAATTGGCAGCTGGGTAAAGATAAATTTAAACCTAGTTATCTCTTTGGATAACATAATTCTCACAGTTGCAAGGCAGCTTAATCTAAGCCTGGGAGTAAGAATTGGTAGATTGGATCCTACTAAGAAAGATACTTGAAAAACTGGTCATTTTGGAAGAGTAGGGCTAGAGAAGATGCTAATGATTTGGAGGGGAGAAAAACCTGGCTAGAGAAGTTTTATCCCCAGAGAGTAATATACTTAAGACTTCCAAGTCCTTCTCCCCAACATGTTCTTCAAAACATGTAATTTATGATTGTTTTACTAGATATTGCTAGATATGATATGGATTTTTATGTCTTTGTTGTTTTTCAGTTAGTGCTGATTACAAACTTGGCACCTGTCGACTAAGTAACTGTTGTGGACTTCTAACTTAATATGTTATGTAGAGTCTGGTCTGCACAATCCCAATCGCTCACACACATCTAAACTTAATTATGGACTTGAATGTATTCTGAATTTGTTTTACATCTGTGGGCAATGTTGGGTATAGTTACCACTTGATAGAATGGGATCAAGAATGCTAAAGGCCATGTATTTGGAAGAGAGTTCTGTAATCCCTTTATTTGTGATCCTGGAAAACTGGCAATATCATAATAGAGAGAATTAAGCTGGGGGAAGTTTTTGTTCAAGGGCCACTTGAGGCAGGGTGGAAGGAAAGTATTTCATTTTAAGGATAGAAATGTAAAACGCATGTTTACAGAATAAATAGTGAATTTATTAATTTCTTACCGGAAGAAAAAATACAAGTTCAGGAAGAGTTTTTGGGAATCTATTAAGGGAGAATGTACGATAACTAGTTTGTAAAACTGTGCATTGTAATCTCTCAACTCTTAGGAGGTAACCTTTAGAAGTGAAATTGAGACTCCACAGATTAGGGGTCTTACTACCGCATTTTAAGTGTTCTAACTGTGCTCATTTTTGGGGAAGTTGATTTAAGTAAGGCTTTCTTCTCTCTTTGCCTACCACTTATTTTGTGGTAAATCAGAATAAACATTGAAGATTAAACAGATAAAACATGTTGGTGAGAGAATATGAGACAAAGAGCACAGAAGAGTGTGCTCTCAGGAGCTACCTGAATAGACTTCATGTGTTTAATTTTTCTTTCTCTGTCTCATTTATTTTTCTCAGTTGCCCCTTGCCTGGTTTCTGTTGTTTTTCTTAAGGAGCTGCTTTGTTCTGTGTCTGTTGGGGAATGTTTTTTAAGTGTTAGTTTTGTTTCTAGAAAACAAAGGCATAAACATTTTGCAGATAGTTTTGATCACTCACTATTGTCAGACAATGTGCCAGGCATTTAGGGTGCAAAAATGAACAATAAATATATTTTACTTTCATGGTGTTCAAAGTTTAGTAGAAAAGGACAATTGTAATATAGTATGAAAGAGTGTCTACTAAATGCTGTGGGATCAAGGAGGAATGGAGGAAGTTGAAAGCTACACAAGATGATTAAGTCTTGAGTAGGTCAAATTTACCATGTCAAAAAGAGAACTTTCTAGAAAGAGGGAATAACATATGCAGAAGCATTGAGGTAAGAAACAGTATGACGTTTTTCCAGGAACTGCAGTGTTGTGTTTGGAATTTAGCATTTTATACAGAAGATGAGGAAGAAATAAAGCTAAAGAGGTGGCAGGAGACAGGATATTTTGCTAAGGATTTTAAGTTTTTATTTTGAATCATTGAAAACTTTTTAAATAGTAGAAATGATTTAAATAATATTTTAAAAAGATCATGTTAGCAGCAATATAGAGGAATAATTGAAGAGCCAGATTGAAAATAGGGAGAACTGTTAGTAGACTGATGTAGTAATTCCAAGCCAAGTAGGTATATGCCTAAACCAAGACAGAGGCCTTGAAAATGGAGAATATGGATTTATGAGGGGTTTTTTTTTTTTCTTTTAAAGTAGAATGGAACTTGACTTGTTGACCAATACAGTATTAGTGAAGGAGAAGAAAACAGAATGGATAACTTCTGAATTTGGAGCATGATACCAGTAACCAGAATAGTTATGCAGGAGGAACAGATTGGGAATGAGTTCAGTTTGGTGTGCTTTGCGCGAAAAATTCTTGAACTCCAGACCTCAGGTGATCCACCCACCTTGGCCTCCAAAGTGGTTGGATTACAGGCGTGAGCCACCACGCCCAGCCTTGTGCTAAAAATTCTGATGGAACAGTTAAGTGGAGATGTTCAGAGAGACAAGTGTTGGGCTGATGCTCAGGAGACAGATTGTGGCTGGAGATAGAGATTTGGAATTTATTACCTGTAGTTGGTGGACCAAAGATGTGGGTGGAAGTGCCCCTTTTGGGTATAGTATAGGGGAACTTGGTCAAAGATAGAACATTAACATTTAGGAGTTAAGAGATTGAAAGTAGTAGTATAGTGCTAGAATTGTTTTATTTTTTTCATTTGTATTTAGTTGTTCCTAGCTACTGCTGCAAAGGAATGTACTTTTTAACTTTTTAAAAAATTTAAGTTTTGGGATACATGTGCTGAACCTGCAAGTTTGTTATATAGGTATACATGTGCCATGGCGGTTTGCTGAACCTATCAACCCGTCATCTAGGTTTTAAGCCCAGTGTGCATTTGGTATTTGTCCTGAGGCTCTCTCTCCTCTTTCCTCCCATGCCCCCGACAGGCCTCAGTGTGTGATGTTCC